AAACAACAAAATTCTGTCATTTCCTCCCTTATTTGTTCTCAGTGTTTTGCTGAAAGTATAAATTTAGTTCCTGGATTGACAAAACTTTTCCATATTCTGCTATAGAATTTCAGTTAGAACTTTTTAACACTATGTTTTCAATTTTCATTACCTACAATGTGTGGGCAATACATATGCAGTATTTCATTAACACTTCCATTAATATTATTATGGTCATTCTATAGAATATATGTCCTAACTAGACATGTGGGACTTTGGAGCCTGTGCCCTGAGGGCAATCATAATTGAGAGGTCAGATAAGTATGCTCAAGTCAGATCTCAAAGATTAGTATGAAAAGTTGTTAAGTGTGCCATTGGTATGTATTTCTATGCATTATGTGGTTGAAATGCTCTTGTACATACGAGACTAAATGAAATACATTATTAAAGTTAACTTCATTTGCTTATATGTTTACTTTTGAAAATATAGACACTAGTAGAGTTTAGGTGACAGATGTCTATGGCGTTACATTACATTTCTATTAGAGACAACTATCCTAGAAGAAGGTGTGCTAAATACTACAGAGTCACAAATTTGAGAAAGGTTGGTGTAAATTTGCAGGTGACTCAAAAGGCAATTCTGATCATATGGAAAGGCCCAGTAAGCTGGGGGTGGGGGAGAGGAAGTAGAAAGGTCAGCTTGGCTTTCGATCCAAGAACTGTCTGATGCCTGTCTGTTGCCAGTAGCCTCTGTGAGATAACTGTGACTTACAGGTTAGTATGTGCGCCTCAAGAGGTATTCCAATGAAGTGTCTTGACATTTCTAGGAAGATGGATTCTCTGTGCATACACATCCCACTGTCACAAGATTTGTAGGAGTGCAGTTACCCTGTGCCTCACTCTTCTACCCTCAGGCACAGGGAGAAATTATGACCCCATGTTGTGTGAATTGGAAGACAATTTCAGCCTTCTGGATTGACTGCTGAGGTGGACATTAAGGCATGAAGGAACGAGAGATTTTTCATTCCCAAAATTTTCTTAATATGTGTGAGTTTCACTCTCAAAGTTGAGTGTGTAAAGCCATTGGAATTGTGGTAGCTGGTAGTATGAGCACCTGCTTTCATTCACTGAGCATTTGATTTGTGTCCTGGCACTCTGCCACTTGCTTGGAAAATTGATTTCCTCTAATCTCAAAGTAATCCTAACATTTTCATGTATGTTCATGAAATTAAAGCTCAGAGAGGTTAAATAATCTGAGTAATAACTCACTTTTCAGTTATGGAAGGAGGATTTGCACATAATACAGCCCGGTCTGGAGTCAAATGCTCTTAACTGTTGCAATTATAGCTGCTCTTTGCACATCAATCCCTTCTTCCCAAGTGGGAACAATCAAAACCATCCACCATCACAGCCACCACTGCAGCATCCACCATCACTGCCACTACTGTAGCATCCACCATCACTGCCACTACTGTAGCATCCACCATCACTGCCACTACTGTAGCATCCACCATCACTGCCACTACTGCAGCATCCACCATCACTGCCACTACTGTAGCATCCACCATCACTGCCACCACTGCAGCATCTCTAATGGCAAGAAAACTGATCCCAGACCTTCCCTTGACAGCATTGCTCAACTGCGCGCTTGGATTTTCTTTTCCTCCCTTACACCTTGGGTTTCTCAAACAGGCTTTGAACTAGAAATCCTTGGGAAACAATCTCCCGTTCCTTAAGATGGTTGCTCACTGAGGACATTTGCACAGGAAGTTATACTCCAAACCCCAGAAAACTGACACCACCAGTGTAAAAGAAGGAGTTTGATCAGGAAAGGTATATTTGTAGCTAATTTCTTGCTAAATAATTTATTTTTAAATTTCTAATTTTCCCTTTCTTCAGAAAGTGTCACAAAGTAATTTTTTATTTGACAGAGTTTAGATGTATGAACTATTAGTAGTAAACATTAATTATTCATTCATTCCTATTCATGCATTTCTAAAAATAGAGATTTTTGATGAAAGAATGATGATGGAGTATAAATACAACCAGGGTAGAGTTTACTGATCACAGGATTTAACCTTTGCTTTAAGGTTATGTTCAAATATAAACTGGAATTGCTGTTTGTGAGATTACTATTCAAAGCACATTTGAAACCAAAGCTTATTTGGTGAGGAGAAGACTCAAAACATTGTGTTGTATGAGGAAGGTCCACTTGACTGGGAGTATCCTTGATAGAGGGAAAAAGACATCCTTTCTTTGAGTTTTATCATGATCTATATCTGTGTGAATAGTCATGCGTGAGACGACATGCCTTGGTCATATGTCACATGCATGTTAGTTTAATTAATTATGAAATTATAGGTAAATCACTCTTGAGAATTTTTGCCAGAGGGAGAAGGTACCAGGGAAGAGCTGAGCTGGGCGTCTGACTATTTGAAAATGCCAAACTCTATAAAAGCAAGAAATTGAAGAGTGAAGTTTGGAAAATATAGCAAATAAAGACAGGTTTTTACATATGCATATCTAAAATTTTAATATAGAAAATAAAGATAAACACACATATATATTTCTATATAAAATTGGAAACACAATCTCTTTTAATAATCTATGGACACAAAAAGCTTATTATATAAGAATCCATTGTGTAGGATTCTTCAGCCTTTACAAAACAGCTATGGATTAATTTGGTATTAAGTCTAGGCTGCAATTTTAAATATTTACTGTGCTTGATACTCATGAGTATATAGAAAGATGTGATAAAGGTTAACTTCCATCACACTTCCCTTTTCATTATAATTCAAAGCTAAGTTTGAATTAATTTAAATCTTATTTGGAGGGTCTCTTTCAAGCCAGATCCTACCTGTAGGCAGTATGGGGACCTGTTCTGGGAGAAGAAACTCGTTTAGCCTGGGTCATAAGCTGGTGAGAGAATGAAGTGAAGAGGGAATCTATATCCTTTGACTTAGCAATGTGGAGGAACAGAAGTCCCTTGTTTCCTTTGTCCCAAGTGACATCACAGGTCTAGGTTTTCCGGTGTTATTGACAACAGTGCAGTTTCTCCCTGTGACCAATTCAATAGATATAATTGTCCACATAACATCTGTACTAAACTTTACATGCTGTTCCTAAGAGCAGTTGTTAATAGTTATCCTTCAAGGTTGTCTCATATCATAGCTACCCAATGGGGAATTCACTTAGGACATGGAACACATCCCTATGTAGATTTAGAGACGGACATACATCTTCAGTGTTTTCATAAGCGTCACAAAGAATTATTCATCAGGAGTTTCATTCAGACACATCTATTAAACATATAGTATATCCCAGGCATTGTTCTAAGTGTTAAAGATACAAGGATATGTAAAAATGAATTCTTCACTGCAAGGATCACACTGTTGGGAAACACAACACTACTGCAAGTGAAAACAAGCAAACAAAACCAGACAACTGAGCTGGAAAAGGAGAGAAGGAAGGGATAAAAATCTATCAAAAGTTTTAGGTTTTGCGAATAAAATTTTTCACTCGTCTTTTCACACCCACATCCCAACACTCAACAGAAGTCTTTAATTCTATGTTTAAATTTGTGTAGAATCCTGGTCTCCACTCCTTACTGCTCCCATCTGTGTCAGCACCACACAGGCCCTAGTAGAAGCCGTCTAACTTTATATCTTGGTGCTTCAGCATTGCTTCTCATTGCTGTGCAGCCAGAGATGCTGTGAATGGAGGTGAGATGGACTTCTAACGATTCAAATCATACTAAACCCCCAATGTCCAACACCTGCCCAGCCCTAACTCTTCACCCTCCCATTTTCTCCCTACTCCCAGGCCTTCTGCTTCTTTTGTTGTCTAGGAATCTCAAATGTTTTTACTTGTCTGCTGCAGCTCTCTATACATAGCTCCTTCCCCTCCTGCTTCCAGGGTTGGCAGGAAGTCAGAGCTTGGCTTCACAGAGAAATGACCTGTTTCTTCCAAGCATAGCATCTCCTCTGGTCCTGTTTGATTTATTTCACAGAACACATCATATCTCCCTCCCTGCTCATTATTTATTTTATCTAGAGTTTACCTTGTCTCACCAGGTCACTCCTAAAGTATAAAACTGTCCAAGGACAGAAAAAATAATCTTGATTAGATGTTTGCCTAAGAAATTGGCCTTTAAAAATCACGTAGGTAAATACAGGCTGAAACAAGTAGGCATGAATTACAGTTGAAGGGCAAGGAAATTGGAATACTTCAAGTCCAAATAACATTTAGAGATCGTTAGTGATCAGTGATTGAGGTGTTGGTAATGGAGATAGATCATGACATGTAGTTGTTATACATTAAGCTGTGTCTCCCTCCTCAATTCATATGCTTAAGCACAACTTTTAATAGCTTAGAACATGATGGCTTTTGGAAAACTCGGCCTTTAAAGAGGTGATTAATTTAAAATAAGGCTGTCTGGGTGGGTCATAATCCAACCCGATTTATATCTTATAAGAAAATGTAGAAGCACAAAGAGACACCTTTGAGGACTCAGTAAGAAGACAGCTGTCTGCAAAGTACAGAAGAGGTCTCACGAGAAACCTAGCCTTCTGACACCTGGATTGTGGACTTCTAGCCTTCAAACTACAACAAATGAAATTCCTGATTGTTAAGCATTTTCCTTTTATATGACTATTCTCTGCTGTTGGGAAGTGGAGAGGAAGGAAGATGAGGCCTGTGTCTTAGGAAGGCTATACTGATTGCATAAAGGACTGAAGTGGGGACATGGGTATGCTAGCTCATTGGGAAGCATCACAGATCTAGATCAACTGGAAGGGAAACAAGAGATGAGCATATTGACCTCAGTCACTAATGTGGTATTGACAGCTACCACAAAATATGATTTAGTAAAGTGCAGTGCTGCAAGTTCAAATGCAGAACTCTGGGGGACGTTTTTGAATGGGAACTCTGACTAGATGTCTTTGATGTCAGATCAAACACTAAGTTTTCAAACATTCCCATCAGTTTGGACCCAAGAATGTACACATGCAATAACTCACAGGCAATGCGCACATAAGCCTTGCGACTCTTTGTAGTGCCTGCTGAACTCCAGGCCACACACTGGCACCAGTAATCTTCAGGCCCAAATAGTTCCTCCACTTGCTGGCGTGAAATCTCAATGCTCACTTCCCTCACAATGAGACCTGACAAGAGAAAGAAAGGTTCAAGTCAAGGGAACACCTGCACATAAAACATAATGCAAGCATACCTCTGCCCTGCCCCCCAGGTATCCCATCGATCACCATCCACATATTGCCTCCCAAATGTCACTTTATGAAGACTCCAACTACTGTATTTCATGTATTTATTCTGTTCATTTGCCATTTCAAGTCTTCAATATTCATCTGAAGATGAAAGTGGAGTCAATCTATATTTCCACATAATAGCCTTTCCTTCTGTCTAATTCAATAACATTCATCTCCAACCAAGCTGTATCTCTTGGTTACTAAAATGGTATCATCTTGGCTGTCATATTTCTTCAAGATTCTGTTTTACGTATATAGGTTATGGCTAAAATGCCAAGATATTGTAAAGCTTTTCACAAGAGAGTTTTCCTAGTACTTCAAGACAAGAAAGAAAATAATCTAAATCTATAACATCAATGGAAACCATTATAAACCACTTTAACAGATCTGTTTAAACTATAATACCACATCGTTTTCATTGAAATACATTATGCTTTCAGTTAACTAAAGAATATACGGCCTTTAAAAGATTTCCCTGTATAATTGTTGGTGAGCTCACATGTTTATCTGCAATTGTGATATAATTGAAATCCTAAAGAAGTGTCTTCAGCTGCAGTGTTGAAATAATCCCAATTTTTGTATCTTAAGTAACAAAAATTGAACCAAAGTTTACCATTTCATTGGTATTTATTTGAGGTATTAAGGTGATTGTAGAGAGTGATGCTGCAGTGTGTCTCTTTGCACTGACCAGGATAACCAAGTGATATATGTGGGTACCTCCAGTTCACTTCGAGACTGAATGCCCACACTTCCATAATGAAGTGTTCATTGAGAGTGATAGTAGAACATCCAAAGGGAGCAAGGGAATTTGCTCTGAGCCAAGTATGGATGCAGTAAGAATGATAGAATGAATTGCTTTCATCTATTAACTTTATATTCATAATGATAGAATGAATTGTTTTTGTCTATTAACTTTATATTCAATCTATTCACTGTCCATTAATACTTCATAAAGTATTGGTTATATTAAAAATAGTGTATTAGGCACTTGTGGAATTTTAATGAATAAGGTATTTATTAACCTTAATAAACTATAGACATTCACACACACACACATTGTGAGACAGACTCATATTAATAATGGAATAATACCATTTGTTAATGGATTTGTTTATTATTTATTTAATAATATGCTTATTCTTGATGTTGAATTCTGCAAAGAAGCTGTATAGAGAATAAAGTAAATGACAAGTAACTGAGTCTATTATGATGGATCTCATAGGAGTTACTTCGTTTATATGCTAAATGGAACTCAACATATAGGAAGAAGCAATAAAGAGAACTACAAGATTGGGAACCAAAATGACCACCAAACACTTGCCAGAGAGAACAGAGGTATGAAACAGAAGTAGACACAAGAAAGGGTTCAGTTTGGACATTTGTATTTGATTGTTTCTCAAAGTGGGACTCCCAGAATGACATTGTCAGCATCATTTGAGGATCTGTGGGAAATGCAAATTCTAACACCTAATTCCAGATTCATTCATTAGGAATCATTGGAGATGGGACCAGTCAGTCCTTGGACTGGCTATTAGTAAAGTATAAGCTAAATTGGAGAATTCTTGTACACAGTGCTTAAGACTTTGGATTTCTTTCTGAAAGTCATGTATATCATTGAGGTGTTCTAAAGCAGATTACAGGGGCAGAGGACTATTGCATATATATATGTGAGATAGACAATATCTGTACATTTGTATATGTATGTTCAGAGTTTCATAAGCTACAAGGTATTTATGATTCTTAATATATTTTTATCATGGGTGACAGAAAATGGATATCTTGAAATGGGATCCCAAATAATACCTAAGATGTACTCAAATCATTTCAGAGAAATCAGACTAATTCATTGACACATAACAGGAACAGGGAACACTCATGTGAAGGAATTAACAGTATTTTCTATTGATAACTAATGGGGTTTGAGTCATAGACACGTAGAATTCTCAAAAAAAAAAGAATTATACTGAAGTTTAGGAAAGCATGTATTACATACCCAAGGCAGGATAAGATCCTGAAGGGCCAATTCTATTGTTAAGCATGTATAATATAATATTATTTTAAAGTGTGAAGATGATTAACACTTTTATATTTATTTAATAACCAGTTTAAAAGGTAATTTCTGGCAAATGGCATAGTCCAATGCTTTGTTCTGCTGTGAAAAGGACAGAAAGAATTACACTCATCAATGTCTAACTAACACAACGATCTTCCCAGCAAGAATCCTAAGCAAAAACTTTCCTTCTATTTCCTGGGTCTCTCTCAGGTCCCAGTTTTCCAATTTTGTTGCAGTGTTTTTTTTATTAAAACTAGAAATCTTTCCTGACAAATAAAGAAAGACAGCCTCTGTTCTAAACCCCCACCTCCTTTTACTCCTTATCCTCCAATGTTTAGAGCTTTATCCTGCCTTCCTTGCTAAAACATGTCTTCTTTATGTTGAAGTTCAGCTACTGGAAACAAAACCCTTCCTTTCAAGTTGCTGCAGGAAATTTACAGTCACCAAAGGGCTGATACACCTTCAGTGTGTATTTACTTCTAATTATAATGGCTCTTTCTAAAATGTAGACCAGCAACAAATGGGCTACGGATATTAAAACCACATACAAATATTTTGTTTGTTCCGAGATGATAACCTCAGGTTTCTTTCCCCTCCCATTTACTTGAAGTAATTACTGGCAACCTAATTAAATGATTGTGGAACTTCACTGGGTCCACTATATCCTTGAGACTGAATAGTTTGTGAATGTTTCTACTAACCACAAATCTGAAGCCTTTTAAGAAGCCACAGACCAACTCTCCTGCTACTGGAGATACTCATGCTATGAATGCTCTGAATTATGTGGCCCAGTCTCCCTGTGGGCACTGAAGTCCAGAACACATGGAGGGCTGTCTTTAGCTTTACAGACACCCCATTCAGAAGCACATGAACTAATAACAGTTGTGTACAGTTGCTTGGCCACATGGACTACACTGTTTACATTCCACTATTTGACCAATGGCAGAATAGGAAAGGACTGCAGCATTAAGTATCTAAATATTTAGACCCCAGGATTCCCTGGAATCCCCTGTATTATTAAGGATCTCAACCACACAGTTTTTTCATTGCTTTAGGTAATTTCATTACCTGTGACATTTTGCTCATCAAACAAGAGCCTAGGGATTCAGTAAAAAGTAAGTAATATCTTTTCTCTTCAAAAGAAGAATTTCAGATCTGGAAGTCTCGAGATGCAAGAAACAAGCCTTCTCGAAATCTGAAATAACAACAGCATTACTTCCAAGGAAGACTGCTTTGAAGAGCCTTGGGAACTTGAAATTGGTGTCAGGTTATTTAGGGGTTAGGAGAGTGCTACAGAATTTACACAAATACAAATGAGTGGTTTCCATCACATCTGATAACATCAAAGATTTCCCACCATGATTTTAATAGTGGCATCTCAAAGATGCAGGCTGTTTGAAGTTTGCAGTCATTTGTGTCTATAATAGGTTTCATTGTTGTTTGGGAACCAGAGTGCAAGGAATTTATTAGCTTGTTATACCAAGAACTCTTAAAATGAGTATGAATGTGCACTTGGTAACAGGGAGGTTCAAACAGATATGGAAGTTAAACTCTCTGATTGCATCCTTGAGAGACTCTACATACATAAATTAAAGTTGAATAATTAATATAATTTGATCACAAATACATGTATAATTTATTTTTAAATTCTCATATTCCAATGGAAATCTGCTTTTTAGTCATGTCAAATGACTATGCCTTAAAAGGTCACTAATGTTAGATATTATCTTATGTTGTAGAATTGAAAAGATATGCCAACCATCATCCAGCCTGAAGCTGTTAATTTATTGTATGAAAGGGTCTTCTTTATAAATCAATTCTTAAAAGCTACCCACCCATCCACTACAATCATCCTAGAGACCTATGGATGGATCAACATATAACATAAATTAATAAATGTAATCCAACACATAAATAGACTCAAGGGCAGAAACAATATGATCTCATTAAATATGGAAAAGGTCTTTGATAAAATGCAACATCCTTTAATGACAAAAGTCATGACAATCTAAGGATACATGGGACATAATAAAGGTAATATATGGCCGGGTGGTGGTGGCGCAAGCCTTTAATCCCAGCACTCAGGAGGCAGAGGCAGGCGGATCTCTGTGAGTTCAAGGCCGGGCTGGACCCACAGCCTCCAAAACAATACAGAGAAACCCTGTCTCGTAAAACAAAACAAAAAAAAAGGTAATATATGAAAGGTCCATAGCCAACATTACAACAAATGGGGGAACATTCAAAGCGTTTTCACTAAAATCAGGAAGAATACAAGGGTGTCCACTCATTCCATGAATATTCATTATAGTCACCTGAAATCTTGACTACAACAAGACAAGAGAACTAGACAAAGGGAATGCAAATAGAAAGGAAAGAGTGAAAGTATAGTTATTTGCAAATGATGTATCTCTACACATAAAATAACAAAGACTGCTGGAAAACTCATACCACTGGCAAATTCACTCAGCAAAGTAGTAGGATACAAAATTAACACACAAAAATCAGCATCCTTCCTACATAGCAACAGTGAACATACTGGGAAAGAAATCACAGAAATAATATCATTAATGATAGCTCCCACAAATTAAAATTTCTTGAACTATTTCTATTCAAGGATATAGAATAACTGTACAGTGAAAATTTTAAGAATCTGAGGAAACAAATTTGTGTGATTGGTTTTAAGCTCATGAGACAGAACCCATCCCTGACACAGCTTCTGTGGCCAAGAACCTGAGACTACATAGGCCAGGGACCTATGGGACTGTTGCTATGCTAAAGGAACCTAGTAACAAAATAACTTTTGAGAACATTCTGTCATAATCATAGATTAGCGTCTTATTCATTC